TAAACTGAATGTGTACCGTATATAAACAGAACTTGTACTGTATATATATATATATATATATACACACACACACACACACACACATACACTTTTCATATAAGTTCATAAATAATTTACTAATGTTTTCATTAAATTTAACAATGAAATTAACATCAATCAAGATGAATACATTTATTAATTAATTTTTTATTCGTCAACTTTTAACTAATGTTAGTGAACACAATCTTAGTGTTTGTAATATATATATATAATTTGTAATTTAATAATTTGTAATATATATATATATATACAGTATCTCACAGAAGTGAGTACACCCCTCACATTTTTGTAAATATTTTATTATATCTTTTCGTGTGACAACACTGAAGAAATGACACTTTGCTACAATGTAAAGTAGTGAGTGTACAGCTTGTATAACAGTGTAAATTTGCTGTCCCCTCAAAATAACTCAACACACAGCCATTAATATCTAAACCGCTGGCCACAAAAGTGAGTAAACCCCTAAGTGAAAATGTCCAAATTGGGCCCAATTAGCCATTTTCTCTCCCCGGTGTCATGTGACTCATTAGTGTTACAAGGTCTCAGGTGTGAATGGGGAGCAGGTGTGTTCAATTTGGTGTTATCGCTCTCACTCTCTCATACTGGTCACTGGAAGTTCAACATGGCACCTCATAGCAAAGAACTCTCTGAGGATCTGAAAAAAAGAATTGTTGCTCTACATAAAGATGGCGTAGGCTATAAGAAGATTGCCAAGACCCTGAAACTGAGCTGCAGCACGGTGGCCAAGACCATACAGCGGTTTAACAGGACAGGTTCCACTCAGAACAGACCTCGCCATGGTCGACCAAAGAAGTTGAGTGCACGTGCTCAGCGTCATATCCAGAGGTTGTGTTTGGGAAATAGACGAATGAGTGCTGCCAGCATTGCTGCAGAGGTTGAAGGGGTGGGGGGTCAGCCTGTCAGTGCTCAGACCATACGCCGCACACTGCATCAAATTGGTCTGCATGGCTGTCGTCCCAGAAGGAAGCCTCTTCTAAAGATGATGCACAAGAAAGCCCGCAAACAGTTTGCTGAAGACAAGCAGACTAAGGACATGGATTACTGGAACCATGTCCTGTGGTCTGATGAGACCAAGATAAACTTATTTGGTTCAGATGGTGTCAAGCGTGTGTGGCGGCAACCAGGTGAGGAGTACAAAGACAAGTGTGTCTTGCCTACAGTCAAGCATGGTGGTGGGAGTGTCATGGTCTGGGGCTGCATGAGTGCTGCCGGCACTGGGGAGCTACAGTTCATTGAGGGAACCATGAATGCCAACATGTACTGTGACATACTGAAGCAGAGCATGATCCCCTCCCTTCGGAGACTGGGCCGCAGGGCAGTATTCCAACATGATAACGACCCCAAACACACCTCCAAGACGACCACTGCCTTGCTAAAGAAGCTGAGGGTAAAGGTGATGGATTGGCCAAGCATGGGCATCCTCAAACGGAAGGTGGAGGAGCGCAAGGTCTCTAACATCCACCAGCTCCGTGATGTCGTCATGGAGGAGTGGAAGAGGACTCCAGTGGCAACCTGTGAAGCTCTGGTGAACTCCATGCCCAAGAGGGTTAAGGCAGTGCTGGAAAATAATGGTGGCCACACAAAATATTGACACTTTGGGCCCAATTTGGACATTTTCACTTAGGGGTGTACTCACTTTTGTGGCCAGCGGTTTAGACATTAATGGCTGTGTGTTGAGTTATTTTGAGGGGACAGCAAATTTACACTGTTATACAAGCTGTACACTCACTACTTTACATTGTAGCAAAGTGTCATTTCTTCAGTGTTGTCACATGAAAAGATATAATAAAATATTTACAAAAATGTGAGGGGTGTACTCACTTCTGTAAGATACTGTACATAATAAATAAACACAGTACACATACATATATTATGTAAACAAAAACTTTTCT